CCCCCCCCGCCACTCAAAGCCACTGTTGCTAGTAGTAATTGAGCGTTCAAGTTCAACATTAATGTTACGACAAATAGTCATCGGCGTTATGAAGTTGAGTGATTCGTAAGCTCCATGGGCAACTGATGACTGAATCATCCTGCGGTAGGGTTAGTGTTTTGGCTGCCAGTAACAAAAGTGACAACGCGAAAAATAGTTTTACATATAAGTCATCGTGACCAAAGAAGCAAAGGCATGGTGTTTACGGAAACGGTCCAAGTGATCTATACATGTTACCGTATAGTGAAATGGTGTACTACATCAAACCGTAGCCGGATTATTAGTAGATGAGCGTTGCACCCGTGTTCAGGCAGCTAAGCAGTGGCGTAATCTTCGCAGCTTCGACCATCTTGAACCTACATAGATATGAACGACTCGATCACAAACGGCAGCGTTGCATATATGCAAAGAGTCTGTCTTTGAAAAAACAATACAGGTAGTTCATCGATAGGCATGTCTAGGTGAAGTAAGAACGCTGTTAGAAAAAATCATCAGTTTGACATACGGCACAACCGTCTGGCGAATTCTGTCGCATGATTATGACACTATTACAAGTAAACCGGAGACCCTCTTGTCGAAACTTGATGCGCGGTAGAAGTTCAATCAATAACTCTTAGCATTAAAAAGTCCACTCAGTCCAGAGCAACAAACGACGGTGGCACACAACCGACCCATGCAAATTAACTTCTTTTTGTCGCTTTTTTTTTCTCTACAGAAAGGCGGCAAGTGGCCGCCATGATAATGACGACGTATTTCAATTGAGGCGCCGACATCGATATCAACAAAGGGTACTTACCGACCACGAAAACTCCAATCGCAAACACTGCACATAGACGAACAGACAGGAGAAATCGATCAAGGCAGGAGTGTAGCAGCCGAGGATCTTCTCCATCGTGATGGTGTTCAATACCTAGGTCTAATTGGCAGTGTCGAAGATGACGATCAGAGTTTCCAATGTCCATGTTTTTCCAAAAGCGAGCCTTCACTATTCACAGGTGACACTTTGCATTCTCATCTAACGCTAACGGCCTTGGCGGGTTCGAAACGCTGCACCCATAATGCTAATCGTCGTCTTGGATCTTTCACTATGTTTGCGGAGTTACACTTTTCGAACTGCCTAATAAATTATATGCTCGCTAGTGTCAGGGTCCGTTTCAACAGTGTGTACATACATATAGACTTCAGTCGATCACTATACATCCATGTGTGTATTTGTGTATACACTATTTGTTGGTGTACAGCGATCCCTGCCCTCTTCTCTGCGTACTACTTACACGGGCAGACCAGCATGCACACAACGTATCACGACTCAGCATTGCCGCCGAGGGCATTACTGCTCCATCATCACTGAGACAAGCACACATAGAATGATACACACCGATCAGTGACAACAAGATCGGAGAACTTTGGTGTTGGGATGGACTTAGGCTGTAGCAGAGCTGTTCGACGTCCCTCTCACCGAGGGCCCAGGCTGACGTCACTGGCTGCTGCTTAAGCCGCCGCAGGAACGGGCGGCCGAAACTTTTATACTGCGATTACGGACGGATAAAGACGTGCTCGCTGTTATTGAAGAAAGAACGACTATTTGATTACTGCTCCTGCGATCATCGTGAGTGAAGTTGCCCTGTTTATAATTTTAGTAGTGTAAAAAAGCTCCGTCGGTTATGGCCGATTTCGTTATTTGTTGGTATTGATGTCCACGGCAGAACTTTTAACGTTGTAGTTGAGCAGTCGTAGGTCGCCTGTGCCGCTATTGCACGCGCTGAATCATTGTTCCAAGATGTTTATTTCGCCGCGTTTCAGATTGTGGTGCCTCAGGGCCCTGCGGCCACTCACCGCGACGGCGGTGCTTCTCGTCGTACTGGTGTAGTGATGGTAATGGTAAAAGTGGTCGTTCCGATGGCTGCCGCTGCTTCTGTCGTCACCACCGCCGCTTCCACTGGGATACGCTTTCGGCGGCGCACCGGACGCGCCAAGTTACTACTGCCGCCAACAAGTGCCGCACACAATAAAAATCTTCAGTCACACGCTGGTACTGTTGATGGAAAATCCAACTTACCTATTCAATACGACATACCATAATAGTACATACAACAGCTCGACACTTTCAAATGATTTGGTGCTCTCAGCGAGAGTTCGAACGATTCGTTCATCTTTCTGAACGTTGCTCGTTCGTTTATGACGCGCTACGACTACGAACGGCATTCGTCCGTTTGCTGGATAGACAACGCTTGTCGTGGCCTAATAAACAAAGTGCAAGCTTGATCAGCTGTGGCCAGGATGAGAGGGTTTAAGATGAACTTGCCTTTCGTCCCATCAGTCAGCATCCGCAAAGTGGGGGGTGACGTGCAACTGTGGTTGCCAAAGTGATTTGCCAGTGATACTTCCAATAGAGGTATAACGTCCGGATAGGCAGAAAAAAAAAGCTAAATGCATGTTAATCCTATTCATCGAGTAACACGTTACTTTCCGTACTCAGTGATTATTCGCTTATGAATACGGGATAGGCTCTATTGGACAGTTCTGCGCCTGTGGGTGTGTGCCACAACAAGATAACATTGTCGATCACCGGCGTTCTGCCGAGTCACTCTTAAACCGGAAAAGGAAATAGCGCTGCTATTACTGGTGTGCATTGATAAAAACTCTAGACGTCTGACGAAATGCCGCAGGCGCGCTATGACGAGATTTGGTGAATGCTGAAACTGAACGAGGGCCTTCCCATGTATAGGCGGGTCTTTACGCGGGGCACCTCCCCTCCAAGGGCAGGGGCCTCGACCGGAGACTTGTTTGTTGCTTCATCCTTCTTATCGATTCACAACGATGCTTGTCGGCATGAATATCGGAAAATGCCCTGGTTATAGGTCAACCTGAGAGCAATGGTAGGACCCGGCTTTCCGCTTGCCTTGATGCCTTTTAATGTCGATGATGCCAGGCTCTTAAACCTCACTTGGGAACTTTTACGTGTCAACACTGTGCCAGGCTGAGTTCACGTATGCGTAGATATATGTTCTTATTGTTGCACACTATACCTTTGATGACTGACATAGAGCAGATGTTGAAGGAAGCAGCTCTACATCGGAGCGATGGGGCCTGGCGACCGCTTGTCTGGATTGTACATACAGACAGAAGTGACTGATGAATAGGGGTTCGTTGCGTGCTCTTTAAACTCGTAATCGTTTGCTTGCTCGCCTGGTTAGTGGCTTACTGGGCTGAGTAGTGGTTTGGCTTGTTCAGTGCCGATTTCTGAATGGCACAGCTCCGCGACGACTCCCGTCTGTTTCTACTGGTGCCGTTTACTTAAGCGACGACCAGCTTGTCGGAGGAGTCGATTACAGTTCCGGGTGTCTAGTGATGTCTGACGTATGACGTCGATCCGACGCTTTCGATGAACTTCCAACCAGGCCAGCGCGACGGCAGCGACCGAGCGAAGGGGAATAGAGGACAGCGGTATTCCGCGGAAGTGCTGGTCGTGCTTGCATACGGCTCTCGCCGTATCGTTGTTGTCGTCTGCCGATGTCACCGCAGCAGCGGCAGCTGGCTGGGGAACATTCCAGTTACGATGAGAGCAGCTAACGTTATGGTCGAGACGCCGACATCATTGATACGGCAATATACATGTAATAGTATACAGAAATATGAGTCTATTAGTGGTCCCACAGCTTCTGTCAGGCGGCCACTTCACCACTCACAGTAAATTCTTCGAAAAGTGTAAGTTTTTAAGCGGCGCTTGTTACTCATTCACTCAGCTAAGATAGCGGTCCACGACCAGCGTTCAAGCGATAACTATGTCAGTCTGAACAATGATGATTGGTATCCTCGCAACGACGCCGGCTATTGCTGCTCCTGCTACCGTCATCGACGCCGTTGCCAGCCGGAGGGGTGCTGGCAGACGGAACGAGAGGAAAAAACGGGAGAGCGCGCGAGAGACTGAGGTTGGATGGACCCCTCAATCGTTTTCCATTATACTGCTCTTGCCGCAAGCCACTAGCGACAATACACGGGTTCTGCCGTTGTCTAAAATGTGTTGGCTGACGACGTTACTCGAAGACAGTCGCGCATGCCCTGATACTGACTGCGGGGATGCTTTAGGCGACTTTTTTCTGAACCTGTCTTTGGGCAATCGACACTGAGTTGACGCTGGGTCGGAAGTTGGGTCGTACGGTTACGTCGCATAGTACAGCTTGTGTTGACACTGCATGCAAATGGTATTCTTGAAGCTTAAACTAGAGCCACAGTATATGAAGGTAGAGTAAAAGGGCATGATAAACGAAACACATTTTGCTTTTCGTTAGAATTCAGTTAAAAGAAGACGCGGCGAAATCGGTTGAAGCAATACATTTACTAGACACATTGCTCGCGTGTTAATTCGAAGCATTGCTTAGGTGGACTGTCCTTCAGCCGTGTGGATACTACGAGTTGTAGTTCTTATAATATACGATGTGTGTTCATCTGATTTATTACATTTTCACACGTTCTGCATTTGATGGGAAATCTTTGCGGTCGGCAACCTTATAAATGACCTAATTTTCGTCTTTTAGAGTTCCTATGATGGTAGGTTAGCTTGATTTAAAGGCAATTTGTTGCCGCCATTCGAACCTGACCCGAATACGGCTTAGGATTGAAGAACTGTTTATATTTACTCGGTAGGTCAAGATCATGAGCGGCAATTTCTTTCCACGTCAACGCCTGGGAATCGTGAAACTCATTCCTAACAACTATGCGGTCACTGTTCTAATTTCTTCACTGACAAATTAATCAGATCTACATTATGACTGGTGTAGATCACACAAAGGAAACTCTCTAGCGAATGCGGTAGAGCTCTTCCCACGTTATAATTTCGGTGCCCAATCGTTATCCTGTGATACGATAGGAATGAAATTGAAACTCTGGTCTAGTTTAATGTTCTTCAATAAGAAATTGTTTACGTTGTTACGGCAAACCTCGAAGGAAGTTCTATAGAAGTACCCCCTCTTCATTAATTGTGGGAGCTTCTGAAACTACGAAGAAGAATACATAAACACTCGTCATGGCAGTACTGGTGACCAATTGAATTACATCAAAGTTTAGTCTTAGCATAATTTAGGACTGAGAGATCGTATTTGGATACAATTGTACCAGTCGAATTGAAAGTTGGTCCCCATCTTCTTAGTATGCTGTAGGCAAACGAGAAGTCGATAGGTAGAATAACCTTCAAATCCATGGATCAAGCGTCAAGGGCTGGTGAGCTCTCGGGCCTTCACAATTATCAGACCAAGTTTATAGAAAAAATTACGTACACGTAATGCCTTCTGCTTTGCCCCTGTTCAAGTGCTGGCCACTGATTGACTGGCGGAGTGAGTCATCTCTCTGCCAGCCGCCCCTAATTGTGCGCTCATCTGCCAGACTGCCAATTTCCTCGAATTGGCGCTCGTGATACAAATGACAAACGAGCAGGAACGAGAACAACAGAAAATATAACAAGCTTCACGTGGAAAGAAGTTTGACTGCATAGGCTGTTCTGGATGGAAGAGGGATGTAGGGTCATAGAGAACGAGGATTCAGCCAGCGCATCATGTGCCACCCTCTACACACTATCACCGTACATTATTGCAAAGCTGGTGTATATAAAAGTCGGGCAAGCTTTAGCTGGTTGCTTGTTTTAGCGGATACGCGTATGTCCACCGTGCCGGATTTCTCTTGAACAAAGCGATAGTTCGTCATCGGGGCGCGTCGTTTCGAAAACTCCGGCGTAGAACAGTTAGTACACATTTTTTTCCGCGCAATACAAACCTCCACCAAGATAGAAAAGGAAAATTTCCTTTTCTGCCAGAAATCGACACTCGACGTTTTCATGCAGCTTCTAAAAAAATCCGAAAAAAATCTCATGAGGCAGATTGGAAAACTCTTGAAACTTCATTGGATTCACTTAAGAAGCCATACTTTTGGTTTTTAGTACGGAGGTTAATAGCCGTTCTAGTAGTAATTGGCAATTCGGTCGTTCAAATAAGCACCAATGATTCTCCTTTTGAAACTTTAAGTATTAACGACTTAAGTTCGTTCAGTCTATCTGCTATCGGCTCAAAGTGTTATTTCGCTAAGCGTTTTTCTTTGTGTAGAGCGTGTGTAGACAACGCTCTACCGAAATCACTTGGTACAGTTGCTATTGAAGCACGTAGGTACCAAATCGAAGCCATAAGCGTGTGAATGATAATGCTGTGCTTCATAGGTTCTGTCTCGTAACAGATGATACGCACAACAAGGCCATCGTGTTGCGGTCACAGTACTAGGACAGTTATGTTAAATACGAAATGAAGTGCTTGTACATCTTGCTGGCCTAACGTCTTGAGTCCATATGTGATTGACCCCGTTAAGCTAATTAGACCACTGAATATGCCGTATTTTTCAATAAATTTACGTAGCCATTAAGCAGCTTTCCCAGTGAAGGACCATAAATTGCAATATGCCCAGTTGCAGTTAGTATTCGTATATTCCAACGAATATTTTTTCTTTTTTCTACAGTATAGAGCGACGATTGTAGGCATATCGTAACATGCCGTGTATTGGGGGCGATTAATGCGCATGCCTTTGACAGTAATATAGCGTGTTCTCTATAGTTCCTTAAAAAGCTGTTCTATATCAAGAAGTTCCATATGAAAGTAAATCACAGTATCTTATTAAACAGAGTCATTAGACAGAGATGTGTTTTTATGTTCTTGAAGCGCGTGTCACGGGCGATCGTGATCAGAAATATAATAGTAAATGGCGCCACTTAGCTGTGTCGACAGACAACTACCTCGAACAGATAGCGGCACTTTTGTTTGTTTGCTTGTTTACTCGCCATATCAATATAGTTCCGTATGTTACGGAAGCGATCGAAACTAGCTAAATTAGACAGCTACCAATGGAATTAATCATAGAACAGATTTTAGATATAGTTGTTGGCTTGAAGTGGACTGGGATGTTAAATAAATCCTAATAAATAAAATAAGGCGTTTCCGTCTAAGTAAACAACACGTCTGGTAAACGTATTCTTAGCATCGAAATTGTGGGAAATCATTCAGCCATAATTATATATCTCTAGATGCATAGGGCAGTAGATCGTAGCTATACGTCAGTATCAACACGTCAATCGATGGCTGCCACTTCTAGTTCGATAACTCTGTGAAGTTAATATCACGTATACTGATATATTAGTGAAGATTGATGAGAAGATATGCATTTCAACCGAAACATAGTTAAGTAAAGGGTAGTCCAAGCTTTTTGATACTCTCTCTATAGTAGCGTTGCGTTAATTGTTGTAGCCGCGTGAAGCTATAGGTAATGAAGTCTTCAGTGTCGCTAGATATATAAATTGTAATACTTCAAATATATGAATAGATACCCGCCTACGGCTATATAAGTGCAGAATAAGCGGCTACGAAATGCTCGGTCTCACCAGCCAACGTTACCCTTAAGCAAACAGTACTATCAAAAGTTAGCGAAAAAAAAAACCAGCGCGAAGTTGATGACTTTGCCACCGTATCGAGAATCGAGCCCTACGCCGAGTTAGGCCGAATGCCAGCAGTTAAAAAGTCAAAACTTTGTAGGCACGGGGGCATGTATGGCTATTAATGCTCGGACATTATTTCCAGCGTGCAGTTTCTTAACGTTTCAGGATGAACCCCGTGTTACTATTCTAGATCGCCTCCAGTATTACCTGCTCGTGGTTAGCTGCTTTGATCTGCACGTCCAACTGCAGGGCGGCGGCATATTTCATTCACGATCATCAATCGGATATTAAGTGAACACTCGCGCTCTGTGAATCGGTAAATCTCGGTTTATCCTTAAAATAAGTGTAACAATAGATATTTGCCATTGCAAAGTTTAGCAGTCAGTCAGTTAATGAACGGCGTCCCTCTTCCGGAACGTCCAAAGCCAAACAGATTCATTACCGAGCTGGAAAAAAAATTGTATTTTGGGTCGACGCT